ATTGTAAAAAATATTTTTGTACTGCATGAGTTTATACATAAACAAGCTACTCAGATATTTAACATCAAGGTAATTATATTTTAGAAGAACTCGGCTTTTTTTTTTGCTAATGATAAACGTACTAGAAATCTACGAAATATTCGTTGTACATTGAGTTTTAGTTTTTTTTATCGTTAATGATCGAAAAATAAAGTACAGACTAGGTCTTCTTTTTTTTTGTTTTATTCTCGAGAGACATTTGACATGAAAGAACCGCCTACAATTGCCCCATGTAACTCATTTTCCGGTAATTAAAATCTTAATACTCATACACATATATGTGATTGTACATACACATGTCAGTTTTCTATCTTTTTTTTTTTTTTTACTATTTTATATGCAAGAATTGTTGTTATTATGTGAGAATGAATATTCACTGTCATTATGATGAAGAAAAAAAAAGACGACGCATGTGTGCACATGCATAGATTTTTTTTATTTTCTTATCATCACTTATTTGTTCTTTATTCTTTTCCAATAGATCTCGACATTGTTCTTCAATCAATAGCAGCAGAACAAAAATCTGTCATCATTCCAATAGTTGATATGGAAATGGAAAATCCATCATTACCATCATTTACATCAACATCATCAAATACTGATAATTTAACAACAATTGATTCAAATCCAAGTGAAAATCCAAATTGGTATGATGGTTCATTAGAAACATGTATTTATGAAACAGAACCAATACAAATTGATTCATCAAATATTCGTGAAATTTTCAATGATGAAATTTTACGTGAAGTTGATATAAATGCTGTTGGTGATGAATTTTTTTTATTTTCACCACATGATACAACTAATAATCAATCAATAAATTCATTAAATAATAATAATAATGATAAACAATATGAACATAATGAAAATTTTATACAAATATCAAATCGTATATTTACAATAGAAGATAAAACATTAGATATTCATAATGATTTTCATTATTCATCATCAAATGATCCATTTGGTTTTGATAATAATAATAATAATAATAATATTAATAATAATAATACATCAATAATGATAACAAATTTAGATGATATATTAATTGATGATAATGATAATACAAATAATAATTTTCTTAATACAATAAATTATCGTCGTCCTATACAAGAAGATATTTTATATGAAGTTGAACATGAAAATAGTTTTTCTGATCATAGTCAAAATACATCATCAATTATAGCTACTAATGATCAAGTAAAAATCTAACTTTTATTATTATTCATATCTATAATTTTGTATTTATTTCTTTTTTTAGACATCGATTAAATTCGATGTAAGTATGGATTATTTAACATCAACTGATAATTCTATTATAAATAATATTTCAAATGAAAATGAAAAACAAATATCTTCAACAAATAATAATGTTTTACCTATTTATATTTTACCACCTTTATATACAACATCAACAATAAATGAACCATCATTATCACTTCATATAAATACAAATAATAATAATATACAAAAATGGAATTCATCTATAACACAATATTCTGATTTATCAAGTCCATTAGTATATACACCAAAAATTCGTCATCGTCAATATTCTGTTGGTTCTTATTATGATAATAAAACAACAGCAGTTAATTTAAATCCAAATTATTTCCTTGGTAGTGCTCCTGTTAGTCCATTAAGTCGTACTTCAACAACAAGTAGTGAATCACATTATCATATTCATCAACATCATAGTCCAACATCATATGATAATATATCATTAAATGCATTACGTCATGTTAATCCATTTTTAGAATCAAATATAAATTCATCATCATCAATAACAACTAATGATTATAGACAAATAACAGATTCTTATTCATTATTAGATGACAAAACTCATATTATTACATCGACATCACCAAAAATAACATTAAAATCAGTTGAAAAAATGATTCCAGTAAGTTTGTTTTTGTTTTTTCTTCTATTATATCAAATAGAATCATGATGATTTCTATTAACAAAAAATTTATAAGCAAAATATCCAATTACAAATTCTGATATATCTAATAGATAATAAAAGAATTTGATCAATATGATTAGATTGTTTTTGTTTTTCCTTTCCATCTGAATATTATCCATATTTTATTTAGATAAATGAAATTGAATCAACACCAATTATACCACAATCAATTGCTTCACCATCATCAATACGTACAAGTTCAATAACATTTTCACAATATGAAATTCCAATTACATATCCTAAATCAACTCATGATATTCCAAAATCACCACCATCAGCACCGCCTCCTCCTTCTCGTCCTATTACATTCAAACAAGAACCATTAATTCAAGAAAATCCTACTTATGAAAGTCCAACATCACCTATTCGTCCTACTATATTTAAACAAAAACCATCATTAACACATGAAAATATTACTTATGAAAGTCCACTATCACCAATTCATTCATCTCTATTTGAACAAGAACCAACACTTGTTCGTCCTAAAACAAGTCGAGGACATATTCGTCCATCACCAGTTATAATTCAAAGAAAATCAATTGAAAAAGAACTTCCTGTAGAAAATATTTATCAAGATATTGATACAACATTAACAAATACAAATCAATATCGTACATCAAATGCTGATTTACAATTTATACGTGATGCTATTGAACGTGTTTTTAAATTTCATAATGATACAACAAATGAATCAAATACATATTATGAAGAAGTAATTGATAATAATAATTTAAATCAAACAAAAAAAACTTCAGTTCAATATCCAGCTATTGAAGCTATACAACGTTTTTATAATCATAAAATTTTATCTGATATTGATAAACAAATTCCAAATGAACAAATAACTAATCTTGATGATATTATTATTAGTAATTCATCAACATCAAATAAATCACATAGTAATCATTCACCTATTATTAATCAACGTAAAAAAGATAATATATCAAAATTAAAATCATCCGATTATGAACGTGCAAGTTCTGAAGAAATTGATGATACATTAAATGATATTGAAGATGTTGATTATCATGATGAAAAATTAAAACGTCATATAATAATAAATAATCATAGTACAGATACAAGTAATGAAAGTTCACCATTACTTTTATCAGATATAAAATTAAAAACAAATAATATATCACAAGAAACACAAACTATAGAACGAGTATGTTATCATCGAACGAATCTTTTCTTTTTTTTGATTTTGAATCATTAGAAAAATTTCCCTTGTGAATATTATTTAAATGTAAAGAAATATTTGAAGATATTTTCACATTAGTAATTACATTTTGTTTTTGTTCCCTTGATATTTAATAGTAATTTCATTTTTAGATAAAAAATTCCATTATATTAGAGTTCGAGTAATTAATAAGTCTTGTTATTATTTTCTATCGGAATTTATATTCAAAAAACAAAAACATGATTTATATTAACTAGGCATTGTTTTTTTTTAAATGTATTAATAGATAATTTTCTCGTTGTTCTAATCTTTGAAGTATCTAGAAGATAAAAAAAGAAAAATATATAATGATCCATAGAGAATACTCATTTTTCTTAATAAATAAAAAGTGTACAGGGAATCGAAAGGAAATAGTCGATGAAAGATGATTATTCATAGAAAATGAATGAGATATTCACAATGTAAAAATCAAAATTGAAAAATTTATGGTGAAAAGAACAAAGAAAAAATTATTTGCATTTGTATTAATTTCGTTTTTCTTTTTATCTTAATCAAATCTCGTTACAAGTATTTTCTAAATCTTTTCATTGAAAAAAAAAGAAATATCAATTATATTCTTCTTCCTTAACCTTTTTTTGGATCTCATCAGTATAAATGTCATGACATTCTAACTAGGGACAAGTATTCATACATATATAATATTGAGACATAAATTTTTCTTTTTTTTTTTTGCCATCTTAAGAAAATGAACAGTTGTGTAAGTTATAAAAAACCTACTAATAGGTAATTAAATAATATTCTATCTTTTTCTTTTTTTTTTAGCAAAAACCATCAATTTTAGCAAATGAAATTCCATCAAATTTATCCTATCCAACAACACGTTCAACAATTCCACCAATTGAAATTATAACTGAAATGGTTATCGAAGAAGATGATATAGTTTGTAATAATGGTGAAATAGAACAAATTTCAGGTGATATGATTATATTCTATGATGATATTGAAATAGTTGAACATTTAACAAGTTCATGTTCATCAGAATCTGATTCAACAACATCTTCATGTCATCATTATTCAAAACCTATAAATACTAATATTACTCAATCATCATTACCATTACCACCACCTATTCCAGCACGTACATTAAAACCTATTCATTTACTTAATAATAATAATCAACAACAACAACAACAACAATTATCATCATCAACAGTAAATAAAATTTATGATTTAGATAAATCTTTAATACGTAAAAAAATTGATGTTAATTCTGTTAATGATATATTAAATCGTACTGATTATAATATGGAATCAACTGTATCACATCGTCATCCATCGGCAAGACATTTTGTTGGAAAATTAAATAATGATGATATATCATTAATAACAACACCATCACAACCAATAATTATTAATGGACATGAACATAAACGTACAACAATATTAACAAAAAATCCATGTTCAACATTACCATCACGTTCATCATTAAATATATCAAAAAATGAAAAACATCGTTCAATTATAGCTGATACAAATGCATTAGTTAAACAAATACAAAATTCTTTAAGTCGTAATTCATTACATGATACACAAATTAATTCAAAAAATTTATCATCATCAACAAAAGATTTACGTGCATTTGTTTCAACAACATATTCACCATCACATGATAATATTATTGATAATAATAATAATAATAATAATAATAATGATAATGTTCATAGAAGACAACAAATAAATAATTCAAATGATCAAACATTTAAAAGACATGCACGTTTATCAAAAAGTTTTCATAATGTTTCAGAATATAATAGTATTGATCAATATTCTAATAAAGATAATAATAATAATAATAATAATAATAATAATAATACAACAATAACAACAATAATAGCACAACCATCAAAATCTGTTGAGAATAATCTTAATCAAGTTAGTCAAAATCAAATTAAACAACAATTACATACACCATTAAATTTTACATCAGTTGTAAAACGTACATCATCTTCAGCATTACAAAATTCAGATGATAATACACGAATGTTGGTAAGATTATGAAATTAATATTATTTTAAAATTTAATAGATACAAGAGTAAAACTTAAACTTTTTTCTAGCATAATTTTTTACAATTTAAAAGCTTGCATAGAGTTCGAAAAATTTAGGACATCATTCCTAAGTTATTTCATTCGAGAGTTATAAGATTTCTCCTAAGATCTTTACTGGAACTATGATCATCAGCCATATTGAGCCGAAATGAAACAAGTTAGGTATGTCGACCTTACGTTGATCAAAAACGAAGTAACTTCAGAATATCGTTTACAAAAATTATCTGATTGACCAATTTGATTCCTATATAGTTTGATGATCCCGAGTCTTCCCTCTTGAATTGTTACACAAAAATATCTACAGTTCATTATATTTTTGAACAGACATTAGTTAAAACTTATAGTTGTTCTACTGAATTGTTTTGTTTTTTCAATCGGAGTAAAACATTTCTGAAGCTATCAAAATGAAGAATTGAATTTTGAAATCCGCTCTAGAGATATAGAGATAATAATCATTAAAAACGTTTGATAATTACAAGGAAAATAAACGTGCCTTTCTTGAGATAATCAATTTTCAAAAAAACAGCAGTTTACAACCGAAGGACACCATAATCATATCTATTCGAAAGTTGGATATTTTGAAAATGACACGTTCAGAACTTTTTAATGATTATTAGCTCTATTTCTAGGCAATATTTCAAGGTTAAATTTTTTATTTTAAAGTTTTTAGCAATGGTATACTCTAATAAAAAAGTTAAATAAAATAACCATAATTCTTCAGTTTCGGAGGTTTTTCTTCGTTTCACGGAGATCTACACATAGGTATTGTATCAGGTCGAGTAGCATCCAACAGTCGGAATGTGTCCTCGTTAAAAACTTTTACTATTTAATCAAGTAGCATAAAACAAATAGTAAAAATACTTCAAGAGTTGCTCTATCTACTAGCATAATAGTCTTTGCTATGAATGATAAGTAGAATAGGAGAATTCCGTCAATTAAAATTTAGCTTGAAAACATGTCTGTCGTTAATAGAATTAAATTCTTGTATAAGACTCACCCGATAAGTAAATACATATTTACAGTTGATTTAGTGTTCTTTATCAATTTGTAAAAAAAGGAAATGTTTAAGAAGAAACGAAATTCACTTAAACTTTGTCAAAGTATTCGTCTATCAAAGCAGTTAGAATAAACGTTTCCGGATTTAAACATAAGATTTTCATTGCATACAACAATGACATATTCGAAACCAACACATAAAACTACAATTGTGATAAGTATAGAACTAGAGCTCATCGGGTGTCAAATTTTCAAAATCGGACCCGATAGACTCTAAAAAGCACAAGTCATTTTCTCGAAAACATGTAGGCAAAGATTTCCCTTAGATGTTTTTCACTGAAAAATTCCTTTCTTTTTTGTTTTTTCTAAAATAGTAATCCTTGTATTCAAATATAAAATTTTTCTAATGTTTAGTCAATGAAATGGTATACAGGTCAAGTAAATGAAAATTCTGAAATATCTTATAATACACATCATATTGATGCTGATGATCTTCTTTATGGTTATATATTAACACATAGTAATCGTGAAACTCAAGCATTATTTATGGATCTACAATCATCAAATGATCCTCGTATACATGCTGCCCTTGATGATATACGTTCACGTGTTGCACAATTTGATACATCAAAAACTCGAGATGATTTACATGTATTTATGAGATATCTTGAATCACGTTTACGTGATTTAAATCATAATAAAAATTTATTAAATAATGATATAATAAATACACATCAACAATCTGATAATATATCAATAAAAAATCGAACAAATGAATCTAATAAAGAAATTCCACCACCATCATCATCATCATCATCACGACAATTTGGTCGACAACATATTCGTTCATCGAATAATATGGGAAATACAACAAATATTCATCAATCAATATCATCTCGACGATCAAGTCAATCAAGTGCTAATCAAGGTAAAATGAAAAAAAAAAAAAAAAAGATTTATTAAGTTCATCTTTATTTCTTTTTTGTTTTAGAAAATTCAGCAGTTTTTGATGATATGTTAAATACTGTATTAGGTCTTCCAAAGAAAGGAGTATCAACATTACCTTCTAAACAAGAAAAATCTACTCCTTTAATACAAACACAAATGACAACAAATACAATAGCATTGAATAAAACAGGACGAGATATTGGTAAACGTTTATTTGAAAGTGGAACATATAAAGATCCACGTTTAATTTATGATGTAAGTAAATAAATATATATATTTTTTGTATATTGAAATTAAAGTTTTCTTTTTTTTTTTATAGGGACCGAGAAAAACAGAGAAAGAGGAAGAACCTCTTGAAACATCCGTGTGATAATTCAAAACGATCATATGTGTGTGTGTGTGCAATTCATCTATTTCTCTTTCTCTACTGTGATACAAAACATTAAAAAAGAAATATTCTTGCCAACCAATATCTTAAATTATATATCACAGAGAATGACTCTGTGTATGTTTAACTCGGTGTTCTTTTTGTTTTTTTTTTTGTTCTCTATAAACAACATGCTTTCTCTTTCTCTCCTAATCCGAGCCAAATTCGAGTTCTACATTGGCTAATTATTTTTTCCTTTTGTGCATCCTTTGTTTGTTTGTTTGTTTTTTTTTAGTATCGAAATCTAATATGCAAATATAATAATCTTTATTTGTACATGCTTTTTTTTTTTTGGTCTTTTTTCTCTAACATGCACTTGCGTATGCTACATTTGATGATCTGTTAGTTATTATTTGTCATAATAAGCTTTATTGCTATTTGTGTATAATTTTAGTGTTCAAGTGGAGAATCTTTTTCTTCTTTTTTTTTTTGTTTGTTAAAGGTTTTCTTTTTCTTGTCTTTTGCATCAAAATCAAAAAAAAAATAATGTTGAATTTCCATAAGCAGAATATATAATCGTTGTATAAACATCAATTAATATATGAAAGAAAGTTTAGTGATATCAAAAGTCAATATTTTTCCTATGTTACACATTTCTTTGTACTGCCGTTATTATTTGGTCATTACTACTATGTGTTATTAATTCTGCTTTGCTTGTAGTATCTTATTGAAGATGTGCAATGAAAAAAGTTGACTACGTGAAATATTACTATCAACAGATAGAATAGAATGCCAACTCGTCAGTCTAGTGTCGGCCAGTAACCGATAGTTATTGCTATATTGTGGTAGAAAGCTCGACATTTGAACTCCAAAACTCGGCTTCATCGAAGTTGGAATTATACGAGTAAAATCGTTAGATTGACAAATATATTTCAAGCAAAAAAAAAAGAACACCAGGAAGATATTCTTATTAACAAGTAATACAAAAAGTAATGATGCTAGTTTAAAAAAAAAATCTTTTGGAGTTGATGTCAGAGAGTTAGATTCCGCAAGGCTTTAGTCAGAAGATAAACTGACCATTTAGGTATCAAACTACTGTCGGTTCTTGTTCGGATGTGAACTATATGGGAGGTTTACGGAAATGATTTATTTGAATGTTAGCTGTGTGAAATATTGATTATAGAAATGAACGAAGAAACATGTACAAATGATTTATATAGATGTTTTGTGGACTAAATTAAGATTTGATCGAATTCCAAATTTGCCAGAACTAAATTAGAATTCGACTAGAAGTAAATTTCTACAATTAAAATAATAAAAATTTATGTGAAATAACTACTTTTTATTCAATAATATCTTCTTGTTTTCTTAAATACTTTAAAACTCAAAGAAGTTTAGTTTATTTGCCCATATTTATATAATCATTTCGTTATGAATGATACTTTTTTTTTGGATGCAAGTGTAGACAAGATCCTCAACATATTATAAATATTGTGTTTCTCGAAATTTTTCATTTAATGTAGTCATATGTTTTACAATCAAATGATTCTCTATTATCTATTTGAACTAGTATCCAGTTCGATTCAAATAATGTTTTTTTCATTCATTTATTGATAGAAAAAATAACAACAAGAATATTGATTTATAAAGTAATTTTCATTTATTTTTAACTCATATTTTTTCCTTTCAATTTTTGAATAAGATTTAAGATAGTTGACATAAATTTTATTATTCTTGCAATCTTATTTTTCTAATATGAAGAAAAATTCATGTCATAAAACGTTTTTTTTTTTCTTTTACATATTCAATTAGGCAGATAGTTCGATCAGAACGAACAGAAATTCTATTTTCTAACCTGTTGAAAATGCATCAGAGAAAAAATGCCGAGTATGTTTTTTTTCCTTCGTTTCTATTCTGCTTTATAAAAAAAACTAAAGAAACATCAAGTCATTTTTGATATTGAATTGATTTTCTAACACATTGACTCAAGTATGAAATTGTTTCAAGCAAAGCATCGAATATATTTAATGAGCTTTCTATAAATCAATTATTTTTCTCATGCTTTCTGTTGTAAACTATTAACAAGATTAGATTAATTTGCATTATTTCATCAGTGCAGCAAAATTTATGCATAGTATAAATCATTGCTTCTACTAAATTTTCATTATCGTTAACAGAAGCTAATAGACTTATTCGAATCAATAGATTAAAAAGCATTTTATATAATTAATAATTTAATCAGATTATTCTTGAATATTACTAAACTAGATTTCGACAATAATACTGTTACTAATTAATTCGAAATATAATCCTATGGTTTAGAGATACAGATCTTCTATCAAAGAAAAAGAAAAACTTATTTTTATTCGCATAGAGTTTACATTTCCAAGTGCTATAAATTTGATAGAATACTCAAAAGTGTTTAGTCAATTATTAATTTTTTTTCCTTATTTCGTAAGTTGAATAATCTAGACAGAATGTGTGATTGTTAATCTTCTCTGCACTCGCACCATGAATCAGTCAAAAAAAAATTGAATCGATTTATGCATATTTGAAATATTTTTAGATGTTTTCTTTTCATTGAAAAATTAATTCCTGATCTTTCTCAGGTTTGTATGAAAAAAAAACTCATTTCACCTAAGAATTTATTTCGACAGTGGAAAAAAGTTTTACCCAGGTGCTTTGTTACGGTGCCCATCTACGGGGTAATTACGATGTCTTTACGATCGTAAACAGTCAAATACGAGCCGTTTAAATGCCGTATTTTTGTCGTAAATCTAGTCTATCATTTACGACCGTACTTACGACCAAGATCAAATAAACGTAGAGAAAAATCTAATGAAAAAAAAAATTTATTTCATTGAAAATTGATCAAGCTTTTGCTCTTGGAGAGTAAAATGTTAGTCTTATCATTTTCGTTTTTTATTAATTAATAACATAAGAAATTTTATTTTAGATTTCTGTAGAAGATGATGAAAAAACAATTTTTAATATTGATTAATAAATTACAAATACAAATAAATGGAAATAGACAATTTGCTTATCTTGTTAAAAAACAATTCAATGGTAAAGCAACAAATGAAATCTTGAATAATTAAATTCATTTTAGTTTATTTTTGGTAGATTCTAAGATTAGAATTCCATCATGATGGTTTTCATCTTTATTAATGATTCGTACAGTACAAATGAGAAAATCTTCATATGAATCTCTAGAATGTTTTAAAGCTTTTCAAGAAATAATGTCAATAAATGATTGACAAATTGAAAGAGTTTGTTTTTTTTAATCAATATATTAAAAAAAAAAAGAAATGATCGTGCTTTGTTTGTATTATTAAAATAAATTGAGTCAATTGAAAATTATCCATTGTATATTCATTTTATGAATAAAACAAACCAAGAAACAAAATTATATTATCATGATTGTTGTTATTCATCAGTTCAATCAATAATTCATTATGGTTTACATTCAACAAATGCTTCTAATTATGGTTTGTTTATTTTATCATTTACTTTTTGTTAGATTTTATTTTATTATCAAATAAAGATGCTTGTTTAGCATTGTCGACTTATTTGATTGTTTATCAACGACGAAAAAATTTCGATTAACTTTAAACAATTTATTTGTTTATTGTATTTTTAACGAATATTTGTATAATGTTTTGTGTGATTTTTCTTTTGAATATTAGCTAATTCAGAAGTTATTTATAGAAACCGGTTATAATTTAATATCTTGAAAAATTAATTAAACAAATTGTTAGAATTTGTCAGATGCATTGCATTTTTTCAATCCATTAAATTAATCACTTTACAATGTAAAGTTCTCTCTCAAAGCTGCCAAAATCTTCTTATTTAATTTAACTAGAAATACAAAATAGACCAATATTAAGAGAACAATTGATGATAATTCATCATTCTATTCAAGTTTATCATTAGAAAAATTAGTATTATATCACGCCTAGGTCAGGTCAGCAGCTCTGTTAGGATAGTGCAAGAGGGAAAAAGCGCAACTTCAGGAGTGCATACCAGTGGAGTCGCGCTTTTTCTCCCATGGATTTATTAGTCATAAATAGTAAGAGTTAGAAGAGGTTTTCAATATGAAACTGAAGAAATTCTAAGAATTTTATGCCCTTTCTTTCGGTATATAAAAATTTCTTCCATGAGACAGTTCAAACTAGATCAGATTGAAAATGATAATTATCACAAAGTAATTTTTATTTTTTCAGATTTGATGAATGTGATCAATTATCAATATGACAATCGCTAGCATTCTTTACAGTATGGATCAGATACCGTCACAGGGCAGTCTTTATTTGCTCTGCCCTGCCCTACTCTCAGGCTAGAGCTTATAAATTGAGTTTCTCCACAACAGTTTTGATGAACATCTATATAAAATTGTTTCATCGATTAATTTCTATCAAAATAATTGTAACCAATGATGACTAGTTCTTTTTCTATAGGTTGATGTCAGTGAACATCTCATTTTATTCCTTCCAATCCATGTAACTGATGGAAATTTATAGCGAGAAGTAAATCATTTAATCAACGACCTAGCTCATTTGACTCAATCCTCATGAAAACGATAAGCAACTTTTTAATTCTCTTTTACTACTCTAGAAACTGAAGCTAGGATCACGTCAATCAAACTTGAATACATCCTTCAATTTCAAATCAATTACTTAATTCAAGAAATTCTATTATAGAAAACGTATTTTATTATTTTGTTGTGACTAAATTAAAAAAATGTTCCAATTAATTTCTTTAGGTATATCGTTCACTTAGCTTAGAAGAGAATATTTGTTAGGTTTAGCTATTATTTTCTCCTTGTTTTAAGTTTCGTTTCAACTAAATATGTACATAAAATAATAAATAATATAATATGGATAAAAAGTAAATCTCATCCGTAATGAACAAGCAGAATTAGAAAAAAAATGAAAGAAAAAGTAAACACGTATGAAGTAAAGAAAAGAAAAAATGTAATAAATAAATAAAGAAAGGAAAGAATGAAACAGATAAAGAAAGAATAGAATACAATAAATAATTAAATAAAGAACACGACAAAACTAATTTAAATATTTTGATTCTTTTCATGAATACTTTATTTAAAAAATGTTGTTAATATTATATTTTGATAATGATATGTTAATGATTAAATTCTCCTATTTCAAAAAACTTCATAATTATTTATGATTATATGTATGGAATTAAAACAAACCATCTGATGACGATGTTTTTTTTTTTTTTTGCAGGTGGTTCATATAAACTTAATGAGCCAGAATTCTTTTCTTTTACGAATTTATTCATCTTTGAAATACAATCTAAAATACTAGAGTGAGTTAAAGACATCACATGTTTATCTTCTTAAAAACTATTATCCCATTTTATATTTTAATGCATTAAGTTTTCTTTTTTATTTTAATTAAATAGGTTTTGAGAGATTAAGTTACATTGAACAACTTATTAAACTCACAATTGAAATGTTTACCTTCAGATATCAGTCGACACATTAAAAATCATTCGAGTAGTTTCTACTAAAATTTTGACGAAAGATCATTAAAGATCAATGTCAGTTATAGATAAAGTTTCTTTTATTAAAAACATCTATTCGTTGACTCCTACTCTCTGATCATCCGAATCCTATCTTTCCCCATTTTTATTTCTTTTTCCATTCTTAGCTAACCCTTATAATACCAATCATTCTCTCTGATAAGTCATTAATCAATGATAAAATGTCAGACAATTCCTCAATACATACCTCATTATTAATAAAACTGAAGTTTTCCCAACTAAATGTAAACATTACGTTCTTACCAATAGCTTTTTCGAATACTACTTTATCATTAGCACTTAATTCATCATTTTCTTTTGTTCGATTAATTTCATCATCTTGTAAATACCACCGATAATCTGGATTTTTTTCGCTCATATTTATGAATATATATGCATAAATACAAGTTACAGAAAATGAAGATGAGTTCCATTCAGTCATTAGGGGTGTCAACTTTGCGTTCCGTTCCTAGGAACGGGGAACGCTACTCCGTTCCCGTTCCTGGGAACGCGGAACGCTACCCCGTTCCCGTCCCTGAGAACGGGGAACGCTACCCCGTTCCTCAGCGTTCCGTTCCTAGAAACTGAAACGCAACATACGTTTCTTTCACTTTTAACAGAAATTTACTAATTCACCGAAGGGAAGCCAATTTCATAAAAATTAGGGATGTCAATGTACCCCGTTCCTCAGCATTCCGTTCCTAGGAACGGGGAACGCTACCCCGTTCCCGTTTCTAGGAACGGGGAACGCTACTCCGTTCCCGTTCCTGGGAATGGGGAACGCTACCCCGTTCCCCGTTCCTGAGAACGGGAAACGCTGAACACTCAAACATGAAAAGAAAAGTGAATATGTCTAGAGACTTCGCCATGTTGAAATATAGCGTGGAAATGCGATTTTGACAAGCGTTCCCATTCCTAGGAACGGAATGCTGAGGAACGGGGAACGCTGACACCCCTACTCCATATATTGACAATGATTTCTCCTTAGAATTATTGAATAATGATTCGGCACTGCTCACATCACCACATTTCATAAATGCATCTAATAAAGATGTTAATAGATGTGGATTCGAAAAAAAAGATTTTGGAATTTCTTTTGAAACTTTTTTTGTTAAATTTAATGCATGAGCAGTTTGTAATTGAGCACATGCATTAAACAAGAGTGTTATAATAACTTCATGAGGATTTCGTATTTGACTGAAAAGATCAATGACTTTTTTCGCCATATTGTTGTTTATGTAACCTTTAGAGATATGTTTAGTAAAAACATAACTATTAATATAATAGTTATTACCTTTCATCATTGCCCCATACATGACAATTGTCTTGTTTTTTGACATGTCAAAAATCGATTGAGCACGAAGAACGTCACCACATTGCACTTTAAGTAAAAGAAAATAGAAGAAAAAAATTTGTATTGAATCCTACTGTAAAGATGAATTAATGATCCTGTTATATAAGAATCAGTTTTTATACGAGAGGAAATGAGACGATGAATAATCATTCCACGTTGAAGATCACGCATTTCTGTACATGCTTTCAAAGCTTGATTGATTACGAAACTGGATAAATTTTTAACATCATTTTCTTTGTATTTATCAAATAATTCCAATGTTTTTTTAAATTGTTTCTTGTCATTGAATGATTTTATTTGAGCGTCGAGTTCACGATCAGATTTGAGAGCAACAAAACGTTTCACAACAATTAATCGATATGTCGAACGATAATATAATAATGTATTAAACATTATTGTTTAATTTATTTTTTCTGGATTTTGTGTGCTAGAAATAAATAAAAATCGAAAAGTGGGGAAAATCAATCGAAAAGATCAAAATTTCTTCTTTATTAATCCCATTGGGTGACAATTTGCAATCAATGAAAAGTGGTCGAAAAAGCATAGAGTCAGGAAAAAAAATTGTGAGAAAAATGTAATAAATAATGATACATGTTTACTTTTATTTTTTTAAATTTTGTTAAGAGCTAAGTTTCATCTGAATGAGGACGCTACAGTATATTCATAGTGAAAGAATGAATGTGTTTAACCAAAATTGGTTAAATAAAGTACACACAAAAAATGTAGCTCAGTTAATTTCATTGTTTGTTTTTATTGTAAGTTCCTCGTTTTAGTTGGTCAGAACACGTTAATATGATCTGTGAATCGAGTCTAATCTAACTGAGCTGATCAATAGACGAAATCCGAACAACACTGTATCGTAAACAATAGACATACGAAATGAAACACTAGCCACACCTAAATCTGACACCAATAATAACGAGTGATACATCTTCTGCACTAACAAGCAAATCATATTACCCAAACTGAAAAGAATTCTATGTAAAAATATACTCAAATCGCCGATAAGTTGCATACTTTAACGAATTCTTCCTTTATTGGCATTGGAATCTCATAGTAGATTTTTAAACTGAACATTGCAGCATGACAACTATCCATGCGAGACACGTCAGACATCATTTGATTCAAAATTAAATTCTCTATCAAATTCGCAAACGATTCTCTCATAGCAATGAGTTTCATAAAAAAAACTGTTCCATCCTTTGAGCTAGAAGCGAGTCCTAGATATTGATGATCCACCTTGAGACATGAAATTCATCGTCACGAGAGACATTACACATCATTTGATTTAGAATTAAATTCTCTATTAAATTCACGAACGATTCTCTCTCGGCGATGAGTTTCACTAAGAAAAAAATCGTTCCATGAATATGTATATAGTGTCAGGTAGTATACTTCAGCTTTGGTTTGAGGGTTAGATGTATTTATCGGCAAGTTATGCATTTATTTCATTTCGCTGGTAATGGAGTCGTTTGGGTTCTGTAAAAAAATACTCTATTGTGTTTAAGCCTTCCTCTTGTCAAAAATATAGATTTTTGAGCTTTTGACATGATCAAATAGCCCATATTTTCTACTTTCAGAATCACTACTATTCTTAGACTTTATGATGAATTCGAAAGCTTTTTTGATAGGTTTTTCACGACTTTCAACAGATTTTGTGAAAAACTCACAAGCAGAAAATGTTTGATAAGGACGTCGGTGTGTGGTGTGGGTTTGGGGTTCATCTTGACGTTATCATCAATCATACCCATACCCACACCTTTCTAAAGGAATATAGTACAAACCAGTAGTTTATTCAGGTTTTTTTCCGAGGGGGCGGTTGAAAGTCTCCAGGGGGTAAGAGTAAATGATTAACGCTTGTAAGGACAACGTATTGCTAATATATGAAGTAGATTTTCAATTTTTGTGAATACTACATTTGATGAGAACGTTATATGGTAGACTTTGTTGTTATCGTAGGCTTGATTGTTGTAGATCGATTTTCGTTGCTATTCCTGATATCGATTTCAGATGCATCGATCGTGGTCGTGAATAAGTTATTATTATGTGAGTTATTATCGTTGAATTGCAAGACATGTTGTTCAACAATTAGATTTGCGTCGTCCACTTGAAGCATTTTTTGTAGCTGAAGAGCTGTCTGAATTTTCTTGATGTTTCGTGAAATATTTATCGAGAGAATTTTGCTTGGACATGATAATGTAACGAGTTATACTCTGCGTTTGATTACGAAAGTTGAATGTCGAAAAGAGAAGAGAAGAGAGTTCGAAATTTGTGTTATAAACAGTTAGTGCAGCAAGGAAAAAATGATGAAAAACACTTCAATATTCAAATTTCTACATTTTAATGAAAACGAACAAAGGAAAATGTTGTGATTAGTGTTATCAAACAACAAACTCTCTTTGTAATTGAACATTACTTTATAAAAAAGAAGTGAGGAAATTCCTGTTGTTTGATGCTCAATCAAATTATAATTCACTACAGAGCATAGCGATTTGATCTTACACATATACTAGTTAACTGAAAAGAGAACAAATGAAAAATCTTAATCTATTGTCGATCATATAGACGTTGAGAATGTGACCAGAATGATGAGACATTACTTCATAAATGAAAAACAATGAAATACAAGCAGTCCAAATACTTTGAAAGAGATGATGTTATGTGAAGAGTTCTTATACTTATTGACACTATTTGAGCTCGAAGTACTTATTGTTTAATAAAGATATATCAAAATACTATATTTCTTTCGCACAGCCGCACTTCTCTGCACAAGTGAATTGATCAGATCATTATCGGCATCATCAAGTCATCGCACGATCCTGGCTAAACTTGAAATCTTCGGAAGGAGGGGGAAGCAAATCCATATTTCGAGGGTGCGGCGCTTCCCCGAGCACCCCTCTGAATAAAGCACTGAAAATGCTCGATATGTATCAAATTGTAATCAAGATAGTTTAATCAAATGCTAGGTTTTTTTTATTCTGCCTTGTCATCATCGGTGGAATCAAAAGAATATAATTTAGAGATTTCAATATACATAATTAAGGATTTTCTTTTTTTGCTTGATTATGTTCATAGAAACGAAATCATACATCATATTTCAATATCAATGAGAGATCATGAGATTTATTCAAAATGATCTGACGACATATAGATTAAAATTTATGTATAATCACAATTTATTCTTGATTAAGTAATTAAAATAAATGTTTTCTTCTAGAGTAAAAGATTTATCATACATTTATTATCTTAATCCCAGTCGGCCTGTTGATCAAGAGTATTATACAAATGATCTGTTTGTATGCCACTACCAAATTCATCTTTCCAAATTTGATTTGTTTTCTCTCGTGATTTCTTCATTGTATTGCCTTCAATAATTGGCCATGGTCCATGATAAATCACATAACCAACAAGACGATGACAATCTGCAATATATTTCAATGGTTCTTGCATGTGAGAATGCCACATTATATCAATCTAGGATTTAAAAAAAGTCCATATATGACTCAAAAAAATAAATATAACATAGTGTTTAATAATCAATACCGCATATGTTGGAGGTACAAAACCATTGTCATCTATCAATGGATATTTAGCGGCCATATACAAAAATCGTTCGTAAGATTTCATTAATCTTTTCATCGCTCCAACGCTTAGATCGATTTTTTTTGATGAATAATAATAACCATGTTTAACATCAACTTGATTCAATGCATCAAACATAAATTGTTTGCACATATCCAGCCATCTACTATCTAAGGTAATGTCAGCTTCAGTGAAAGAGAATGGATTCTCGTAATCTGTTGGAGCTCGTGAGAAAAAGTTGAACTGTGTCTTATCCCAATAAGAATAACTGTAATTCATCTTATTATTAGTATAATACGGATCATAAAGAAAATCTGAATCAGTCTCTTTTTTCTTTTCAGCTGATGGCAAACAACAATAATGTTCGCCAAATCGTTGTTCGTATAACTGGCAGGTATCGACAAATGCTTGTTCTTTGAAAAACTGTTCAGTATCATTAATTACCAATGAATGATCAATTATTCGACGGAACAAACGTAAACAATCGGCTTGATACATATCTGGTCGAAGTAAATGAGTTTGCCAAATAATTTCAATATCCAAAGTTGGAATCAGTAGGATGTTTGTTGGTAAAGATGCTTTCAATTGCATAAAACGATAATATCGTCTTATCATTTGTTTTAAAATAGATGATTTTTCCCATAGGTCTTGAAATTCAGATGCTTTTTCTAACAGTTTGATTAGTTCACGAGTTGTCTTGTCAATATCAACGGATAATTCAATAGTCCTACATAGTAAACAGATAATAAAACTGACACATTTTCATACGTCTCAAACTATTTCAATGAGACATGAAAATTTCAGCGCACAACGTGGCATTAAGAAATCTAGGAATATATCAAAGTTGATTAGAGTAGTAGAAAAAATAATTTCTTTTTCTAGCAGCCAAAGAAAATATAGACTCATGAAGAATATGTTTTAGAAGATATACGTATGTATAAAAACTGATCTTACATGTTTGATGACGAATTTGGATGTTTATCAAACCCACCAATAGGTTCAAATTGAGAGTTAGTTGTTGAACGAATTGGATACAATGGAGGTAAACATCTGATACATGCGGTTGTATGCCATCCTAATTGATATCGCAATTTTGCATTGCGTAAACATTTTTCATGTATCCATTCCATATAGATTTGTTTGAATGGTTTCGAATATAATTTCTTTGACACTGTTGAAAATTAAATTAATCAATTAGTTTTAACTACAACTAATAGATATCATACTCACTTGTGCATTTTAATTTCCAGATTTCATCTTGATCAGCGACCATTTTGAAAGATCGACAAACCAATGAGATATTACATAAATCAGGCACGGAAAGAAATTGAAAGATATATAACATGATTTCACTAGGAATAGTAGCGAATGGTGACTGTGATACAGCATCTTGTGTTTCGCTAGGTGACCATTGATGTTGCCAAGTAACATTGGGTTTTTCTAATGGTGTCATAGACATTGTAGGATATTCTTGTACATTATCATCATCATCATCATCGAAATCCATCATAGTTTAATCTGAATAGGTGTACAAATTACGTTAAGAATGCTGCATTTTCAGAAATAACTCTAACCATTGACAAGATCAATATTAGATATGATAGTGTTTCAATGAATAGAATTTGGGGATATAAAAACATACGAAACCAGACAACCTCATCCTATTTTCATCTTAGATACTCATTCTTATTAGTGGTATAAAAATTGATAGTTGAATTCAATTGAAATTTCAACTTTTATGTTTTAAATTATCCATGCATCATTCTTAACAACGGTACTTTATTATATAATGTGAAATTTAATTAAATTTGTTGATCTATATATAAAAAAAGTCTAGAGCTCGAAATGAAAATAAACTCTTAGTCTTCGTGGCAACTTTTCTCGAGTGTACAGGGTTACCAAAAATGTTTTGTCCGTCAAGTATAGCTCCAACGACAAATGATATCAACATTGAATTTTATATTCTAGAAATGCATGAACCACAGTCATAACAAAACTTTCTTTTATCATAGAGAACTCAAACTATCTCGGATATAAAATTACTAAACATAGAAAGGTTATCCTTACTTTTTATAGCCTAATGCATGATACAAAATAAAGGTAATTTTGCTAGATTCAGTATTTTTATATTAGAGGTAGTGTGAGCTCTCTAAGACAAAACAAAGTTTTGCTATGACTGTGGTCCATAAATTTCTAGAAATTATCAAAGTTCGATAGAGAAAAGTCTTTGTAGCCCTTATTCATTTGTATGGATAAACTCCTTTTTTGGTAGACTTCCATTTGGTATAAAATTCATACAATGAATATCGATAAAATATTAATCAAGTATTATGGGGTGTGAATGTAGATATAGGTGAACAGGTGATTCACATCCACACTGATAATAAAATCAAAATTCCAACTCTACCAATGGTTTCATTAACAACTATTTAAGTATATATACGAGGCTCTTTTCGTTATACACATAACACATGTACAAGTCAGAGTCCATCTTGAGAAATTTTAACATAATTTCTTACGATCTATCGACTGTAATCCGCCATACGACGCTTGACAGATTCGTGTATTACCATTTATACATTTTATTAACATACACAAAAAAGAAAAGTTTTGTATATTGATACCGATGCCACGTTTGCATTTTATGTATTCAAAAACACGTTATGAAAGAGATAAAGCATAAAACAACATACCAAAAACAAAGAGAACAACAAAATTTTACTCACACTACACAAAGAGAGAAAGTAAGATCGCATGGGTATTAGTTTACTGTAGACACAGGCGAGAACAGAAAAGAAAAAGTATTGGTTTGCAAAAAATAACCAAATGAATGGATAGAATGTGTAAAATAAATAACGACAAGATATAGATGGCTATGACAAATAGATGACAGTAGAGTGCAATAAAGAAACGGAACGATTCCCAGGTCAAACAAGCACGGTCGTAAATGGCCGTATACAGAGAAATACGGTCGTTTACAGGAGCATATGTAGTTCGTAATCGTCGACCTGGATTGATAGCCAACATTTGACATTCTACTGTCATCTATTTGTCATAGCCATCTATATCTTGTCATTTTCTTATTTTTCCCGTTCTGTTCATTTCTTTGGTTACTGTTTCAAATCAATACTTTTTCTTTCCTTTCTCCTATGTCTAAAGTAAACTGGTACCGTCTTTTCTGATCTCAGGCAAAATTTCATGCAATGAAAGGTACTTTGGCAAAAGAATAGAGCCTGCAAGTAGTGGAAGAAGTACTACATCAATTGAAGCTCGTGGCAATGAGTATTATTTATTCTTTGCTTCAGCATTCTGGATTCTGTTCGACTATTGAAAAGCAGCGTTTCGATAAGCTTTAAAATCATAATCTGGAATTGAAGATATTCGATCAAAAAACTAAGCATAGATGGCCTATCCTTGTCGAATTTGATGAAGGCAAAGAATGATCTATCGTTTGAATCAATGGCTAAAGACAAGAATAACTCGATCGAATGTATTGTTCACGTGAATCCCTATCATTAAATTTCTTCAAACGATGAACTGATGATGAGCTCATCGCAACGACGCCATAAACAAATTCATTACTGGGGTAATAACCACCAATAAACTTCGTTTAATCTCTGTTTTAGGATGAATATTTGTGGTGAAATTCTTTTCTTATCTGCCGTAACTTTTCGTTAAACGGAAGAAAAAAAAATAAAATAAAATACGAAATTTCTCGTTCGAATGACATCTATTATTATAATGTAAATCATTGATGATGATCATTGCTTTCTATCGTGCAGTGTCTATCGATGCGTGACGAACATAAGCTAGAGTATTACGTGTGAAATGCGATCAAATTAAACCATACACCGAGTGTGTGTACGTCCTCTTTCATGATTTTTTTTTCTTTAAAGGAAGAATGAATATATCTTTTAGATAAATATTGCAACAATGCTTTCGAATCAGCAAGAGCAAATTCAATTGAAAGGCGAAGATATTTCGCCAGCTAAGGACGGCTGTAAACATCTAATGTCCATTTAGAAATATAAGACGCTCCACTGTTTTTATGGAAACAACTAGAGATCTGCCATTTTCACTAATTGATAGAGGACGATGAGAGACGCAAATCTATAAAAGAAGCAAGGATCTGTCATATTTTAAAGGTAATGTATGTTTTGAACCTTTCAAAGATCAAGCGGTAAGATTATGATATTCAAATGATTTTCCAATTGTTATATCATGGCTAGTTAGGTCATTACATCATCTAGCAATCCGTACAAAGCCGACTTCTGTAGCTATTATAGTTCAGGAGTTAAACTATTTTTACTGAGGTTTACGCATTCCCTTATTTTGCTTATCAGATTTTGTGAAAACAGCTGCAAGTACAGGTTATCAATCACATTGAATACCAAAATGATATTTATTTTGCGTGAAGAACACTTCTTTCCATAGACGCTTTCAAATTGATTGAATATGTGTATGTTTGTATGACATTTATCTTGCATCTTCTAAATAGCAGTGTACTATATTAAAGAAACACAAAGCGATACGTTGTGGTTAAATGAAGATCAATACACTGTTTGGTGCCTCTTAATATAGTACATTGCTATTTAGAAGATGCAACATAAATGTCATGCAAACATACACATATTCAGTCAATTTGAAAGAGTCTATGACAAGAAGTGTTCTTCATACAAAATAAATATCATTTTGGTATTCAATGTGATTGATAACCTGTACTTGCAACTTTTTTCACAAAACCTAGTCGGCAAAATAAGAGCAACATATATTAGATTCGGTGGTGGTTCTCGTGCAATGAGTCCTAGCTGTTTCCGTTCTTGAGTTCTTGAAAAAATAGAGAAGCACATAATATTTCTAAATGGACATTAGATAGATTTTGTTTTTTATTTCGAGAGTTTCTTTTGTTTTCAAAGGTTTACTCAAAGAAATTATTCGTCAAAGTGTCGACGATGAAAAAGCAATGTTTGATGATACAGTCTATATTCATTATATTGGAACTCTACTTGATGGAACGGTATTCGAGAATACTCGAGATCGAAATGAGAAGGTTAGTTTTAATTTTGGTAAAGGCGAGGTGATCAAAGCATGGGATATTGGTGTGGCAACCATGAAGCGTGGAGAAATCTCACGATTCATTTCGAAACCCAAATATGCCTATGGTCTAAAAGGATTGGGTGACAAAGTTGGATTCGCCGTAACCGTAATCTTCGAAATTGAACTGGTCGATTGTGTAGGTAAGTCAAAATAGAGGACAGTAATTATGGAGAATATCCATTTTTTAGGTAAAGATATTAGCGATGAGCGAGATCAAAGCATTGTACGACGGATAATAAAAAGAGGTGAAGTATTTGAGCAGCCAAATGAAGATGCTACTGTGCAAATTTATCTCAAAGGAACGCATCAAGATCAAATATTTGACGAACGAACAGTCACTTTCTTTGCTGGAGGAGGTTGTTTACAAAATATTCCTCTAGGGTGAGTTTTGAATTTGCTTGAGTAGCTGATTTTCATCGAATACTTCTTTATTTGCCTTTCTAGTGTTGAATATGCCATTTTCAGAATGACCAAAAGTGAACATTGGAAATTATATTTAAAATCAAAAGCAACAAAGGGTGTGGAAAAATTTCATATTCCAGCTGATTCACCTGTCGAGTACGAAGTTACCATGATCAAGGCCGAACGGGTAAGATAATTGAAAATCATTGTCACGACTAATACTTAATTTGTTTTATAGGCCAAGGATGATAAATTTTTGACCGACGAAGAAAAACTCAAACAATCAGAAATATTGAAACAACGCGGAGATGAATTTGTAAAAGTGTGTACGAGATTTCGAATTCGTTTTTGATATGCCCATCTTTTCGATTGTTAAAGGGTGGTCACTATGAACTTGCTGTCAAAAAATACAGAACTGTTTATAACTATCTCCTATCAGCATCGTTAAGAAGTAGTAGTGACATAGAACAATCTAGACAACTCAAATTTGCTTCTCAATCAAATTTGGCTTTATGCTATTTGAAATTGGGTGACTATAGCCCATGTATAAGGGCATGTGAAAACGCTCTACTTTTCGATTCACAAAATGAAAAATGTCTCTTTCGTCGTGGTCAATGTCAATTAGCACGGGGTAATTTTCGTGAAGCTATTCAAGATTTTGAAAGTGTTATCAAAGTGAATCCATCGAATATTGTTGCAAAACAACAAATTCAAGAATGTAAACAACAAATTCAAACGTATGAAGTCAAGAAAAAGGAATTGTACAATTCCACTCGTAAAACAACAGTCAAGGCGGATGTCATAGACAAGGTCAGAAATACATCTCATCGAATCATGTCACGAAAATATCTCTATTTTTTTTCTAGACTGATGAGACTAAGACAAATTTGAAAAACGAACGAAAAATCGACTGAATCTACTTGATTGTCGGATCTATTTACCTCGTTGTTCAGCTTTTAATGCCGATTTGAACAAAAAAAAAATCAGCGAGCGATTCTTATATGCAACCGGTTTTGCTTTCGTTCATTTGTATTTTCTTGTTTTCAATATATGTAACAACTCAATATTCTATACAGAGGCAGTCCATCTGCTATATCATTACGTTCTATCCGTTTCAAAATAGAAGATTGATTGTCATTTTTCGAATAATTTCTGACAGAAATAAGAGAGAGACCTATGGTTTTCACTATTCGAAAGAACAATATTATTGAAGCAACTGTTAAGTATACTTGGTATATTCAATTGAATTATTCGATAGAAAAAGGTGTTCGCTTTCGATTATGAAAACGGTTTCTTCATCCGAGTCATCTGATTGATTTCTAGACATACGAAAGTTGATGAATTGATATTTATGGACTGAAAATGCTTACTGTGATACTTGTTCTGAATGCAATTCTAGTTGAGTAGTGTAACTCTCAGTCATGATGAAAAATTTTGTTCGATGAAATGATTCAGCATTTTTTCCAACATAAAAAATTATTTAAGCTATCGTGTGACACCTATAAAAATAAAACACAGAACACGAAAACAATTGTTCTCTTTTACCTCTATCAAAAATATAATATATTTTTTTTCAATGGCGATCATGCTGCTTTTTATTCTTGTCGCGAAATAAAAAAACAAAAGATCATTTATTTCGATAGCATGCTATGTTTGAGACATCAAATTCTTAATTTGCATTAAGCTTTGCAGAAAATTCTATTGTATTGTTCAAAGATCCGCTAGAAAAGGAGACAGTAACGTCCCCATACAGTCGATATTCCTAAGTAGAATAGGTTTTTTGGAGGAATCGAAACATTTTCTTCTTGTGAAGAAATCTTTCACGGTACCTAGAAAATTTTTACATTTTGGGTACATAGGCTGTGGGTGTGAGTGCGAGTTAAAAGAAAACTAACAACCGAAGCCATGCTCACACCATATTTATTCGTTGGTCAAATAAATCAATGTCTATTCCAATTTATTTCACTATTATTAATATAATTGAAGCTAGTAGCAATAATCAAGAAAATCAATTTGTTAAACTTGATTTTATTCAATTATTTGAAATGTAAAAAAAAGATGCTCAAGGAAAAGTCATAGCTCGATCATCTAATATTAAACATAATTCATTATTATCGAATGAAGAAAATCAAGTTGATTTAAATAACATTTGTTTATATTCAAGTGAATCAGTTGTTTTATAACTAATATTAACAATTGATCATATTGGTTTATTTTCGTCATAGTTTACAACTTTTATATTTTCTTTCTATTCTTTTTCTTTGTTTTGTTTGTTAACATTAGTCGAGCTATGACACTTCTCTATTTGAACTAAGCATAATGAAAATCTCATTTTAATTAGCGATTAAAAGAATATTTTAAATCAATTTGATAAACTGGATAAACGTATTGTTTTATTGAGAAAAACTAGCTTATTTAGGTTAAGGCCTCCTCTGAGAAACCGATTTCAGCGTTGGTACGTTCAAATCACATGAAAATTTCAGGATATATTAGGGCTATAGTGGAGAAGCTGTGGTAAGATTTTCAGTCTGATACCATGATGTTTGATAGAGATATTCACTAAACAAGAGCCAAAAATAGTTTATTTGGCAACGCAAATTTCTCTGTCCAGATTGATTCTGTATATTTCATTTTTTTTCTGTTTAACGGGAGAAAGAAGGGTGTGAGTGTCGGTGTTTAGATTTGGATGAAGAGACGATTCACATCACATCCTGAACAGTAAAAGTTGAAATTAACAGATTGAACTTGTCTTTCATTTAAGAGATAGGTCGATCTGTTTTCAATTGATTATTATATGAAGTCTTGACTTTCGTCGAAAATTTCATGCATACTGTCGCATTATGATTATGTCAAAATTGAATTGCATCGAAAATATTTAGGAAATCAGAATTTGTAATCTTGTACAATGAAAGCCGGACTGAGAAAAGACAATACTTTGATGAAATGTAATTTTTAACATAAAACAGGAGACCAGATCTGAACCTTTCGACGCAAGTAGAAGTTCGCGACAAACAATTAAGAGCCATTGCATGTAAGCCACGACCTGGAGTGCTCAATCGATCATCACCGATTTCTTGAATTTTTACATATGTGATAGAAGAAACTATTTGATGATGTTTGCCGAAAACCGCATCGAGAAATATTGATCCGCTGGTTTTTTATTAAACTTTTACGAAAAGCCACAAAATTCACGATCATGAGAAAACCGTTCATTGTTACGGCTGTATCTTGGGAACAGATGAACAGATTGAGTTGAAACTTTCTATCAATACTCATAGTTAACGATGCTATCATCAGAAAAAATTTCAAGCGAAATGCTTGTGACGTTGATTTTCTGCAAACACCCTTTGGAGAGGTCAAAATGCTAATTTTAGCCAGTTTTGTGATCCCGTATCTGACGACTAGTGCATGATTCAGTCTTGAAACGTTTTTTTGCAGAAAGACCTCGATGATGTCCTATTTTGGTAAAAGTCTCAGCTTGCCTGAGCAAAGTCGGCTTTTTCCTAAAATCGCGATTTAGGCTGGTGGCGGTCTCGAAAAATATGAGATGACTGACGGATGGAATATTTGACCCTGAAAGGCCCATCTTTGATCTGCAACTTAGCGTAAAAACTAGCTTGGGATTTCTATAGGCTGCTTGACCATCGGAGTCACACTGGAAGCTCTAAATAGAGTAGCCATTTCCATAGAAAACACCAAAAAAAGTGAAAAGTATTTTGTGATTTTGATTATTGAAAGTTGATTTTTATGCAAAATAAGCATGATATTCGGAATCAGCATGAGAAAATACACCAAAAGCTTTCTTTTTATCCTGAAAACTTTTTCCCTTCAAAACTTCGCTCTACTCACCCTTAGCTTTCTATTCCTTGAATTTTAGCCTGCACTCTTCTACGAGTCAAATTTTGACGGGAAAAGTTTTCAGGATAATCGCATGCTGCTTCTGAATACCATGCTTATTTTGCATAAAAATCAACTTTCAATAATCAAAATCACAAAATACTTTTCACTTTTTTTGGTGTTTTCTATGGAAATGGCTACCCTATTTAGAGCTTCCAGTATGACTGTCATGGCCAAGCAACCCATAGAGATGTCAAGCTAGCTTTTGCGCCAAGTTGTAGACCAAAGATGGGCCTTTCAGAGCCAAGTGTTCCATCCATCAGCTATCTCATGTTTTTCAAGATCGGCACGGCCCAAAATTGTTAATTTCGAAAAAATTCGATTTTGACGAGGTTACTATCGGCGAACGGTTAAGCTCTGAGAAATTGAATTTTTTGCTGAAATGTGATGTCATTGAGATCTTTCTGTAAGAAAAATTTCAAGACTCCATCGTGTACTAGTCGTCAGGATAGGGTCACAAAGGGAGCTAAAATAGGCATTTTTTCCTTCGCCAAAGGATACCTAGAGAAAACTAATGACTCAATCATTTCATTTGAAATTTTTCTTGCTGGTAGGATCATTAACTATGAATGTCCACGCAAAGTTTGAGCTCAATCTGTTGAATTATTCTCGATATATAGTTGTGACAATACGCGGATATATCATGATCATAGATTTTAGGGCTTTTTGTAAAAATTCAATAAAAAATTGATGATTCAATATTTTTTGATGCGGTTTTCGGCAAACATCATTAAATAGTTGAATAAAATCAGATATGGTCGATTGAGCACCTCCTAGTACATGAGGTCGTGGCTTACGTGCAACGGCTCTTAAGTTATACCTAAGTCTATTCAGTTTTGGGTGCTGATTCTGAATATTATTCTAATTTTTCAACTGAATTATAAGTGTTCTTCTCCAAATCTCCTTTTGAACAACTCTCAATCACCTTTCAATATTCACTCGTATGTTGTTCTTCTATACTTTGAATCAGTACTAGCTCGCCTTGACCCGGTATCAGACATACGATGTAAAAGATTGCTTTTTTAAAATGATTTGTTTTTCTTAAAGAAAACAGAAAAAAAAGGTATATCTAACACATCAACGAAGAAGAATTATCTTATCATATTTAGTGACGCATATTTATGATGCATGTTGTTTTCAGGTAGGTGTATCTCATATATAAATTTTACATTTAACAGCTCTCGAAAGTAAATCTATTTAAAAGGTGACAACATTGAGTGGTATACGTTTGTTTTTTTAGTTCTATCGTTGTAAAAAGAACAGACAAAGGTTTTATATTTTTTCTTTAATAAGTCATATTGAATTCTGTAGTATCTAAACAATCGTATTAAACAATAAATTGGTCGAAATGTCATTGATAGAAGTCAGTGGTATTGATCGAGATCGTATTGTTGATGAACATCTTGTACCAGATGAATATTTTTGTCCTATTTGTCAATATCTTCTATGGAAACCACGTTCATGTTCATCTTGTCAACATTTATTTTGTGAAAAATGTATTCAAATATGGATTGGTAATGTCAATAGTGTTAATCGATGTCCATTTCGATGTGAACCATTTGAAGATCGACGATGTCCACCCTATGTTCAATCCATGTTAAATCGTATCAATATTCATTGTCGAAATTCTTCATTTGGTTGTGATAAAATTTTATCTTATAATTTATTGGAACAACATGAAAATACTGAATGTGAACATCTTACTCAACAATGTTTCGATTGTCAAAAATTAGTACTTGTATCGAAATTGAACGAACATCAAAAAATACCTGGATTATGTATTCCATATCCAATTAAATGTACTATTTGTCAAAATTACATTAGTAAATCTCTTTTCCGAGATCATTTTCATCAATGTTGTCAAATGAAAACCGATCAGTTGATGGATCAAAGATATCAAGATGAAATTTTACAAACAAGAACACATGATCAATTGCAACCACCAATTAATGGAATGGAATTGATACAAAATAGGATTGATACCATTCAAATGTATGAACATCAAAGGCACATGTCACGATTACCGACAACTTTAAAAGGTGTCGATGAAGTTAGACAAGTACGAGAACGAGGATGTGGCTATCTCTATCACATATTGATTATGTTTAATTTTATTTTCTTGAATTGGCAAAAAATTCCTTTTTTCTTGCTAATGTTTTCAATCAGTGGTTTTACCTTCATCGGATTACTAATTATTGGTGAATATATAATTTTTTCAAATTGGACATATACTAATAAGTGGCGAGGATGTTTTCTATTTCTTTTAATGAGTTGTCTTATAAATTATGGAACTTATGCATTACTTCAATTTGTTTTGGATCGAACAATAATTTACTGTTTTGCAGTATTTATATTTTTGTGTGGCTGTGCAATGCAATCGCCATTGGAAATATTTGAAATGAATCAGTTATTCAATAAAACCATGCTGACTATTATAACTTACGGTTTGGGTTTATTGATAATGAAATTAATATTATTATTTACTCGATTGTATTATTGGTTAATGCCAACATTTTTGGCAACTGGTCTTTTGGCATTGATTAATATATATATCGCTTTCAAACACCATCAATATTTTGCAGATGTAATAGCATCAACTAGGAATCAACTAAACGCTCATAGGTAGAATATCGATTCCAGTTTAATAATCGAATCATTGTCATGTCATGAAAAACATTTTTTATCCTCGTATAAGTTTTCTTAATTTAATCACTATTTTTTTCTAAACTAAAAAATACATAATGCCGATGTGTAATTCATAGCATTGTCTCAACAGGGATGTTTCTCTCTTCTCAAATCAGGCTTCACAATTTTCATCAATAAGATTTTGACAAATGCTGCATATGTCGCCTCTGATTTTGTTTTTAGTTTGTAATTGCGTCACAGTTATGCGTAGAGACAATTTGATTTCATCAAAATCTTTCTCTTGAATGCATCCTGATGGTATGGGAGATAGAAAATCGATCGATTAATCAAGTCTTGATCAGATTCGGTAGCTGCCCCACTAGTAAGAGTGTGAATGTGTGGTGTGGGTGTGGAGTGTGAGTGTGAGGGTATGGACGTGGGTGCGCGTGGATGGTGCGAGTAAACAATAGACATCTTCACCGACACTCATATCCACACCAATACCCATTCACATTCACACTCACACCCACATCTTTATTTAATCAACCAATAATAATCAAGATTTTTTTGTATTTAGAAAATCACAATACAATCTTAACTAAAACTACTTTAGACTGTTATTGATGATGCACAAATCTTGACTATTTGATGAATTAAAAAAAAACTAACCTATTATTGTGTTTGTTATCGTCTAGATTTAAAAAATCAAGATTGCATTTGTTGTTATTCTTATCGAAATCGATCAATTTAAGTTTTCGGATGCGTGTGTGGATGTGCATCATGGAAAAGAAAGTCATGACTAATAACCATTCCAGAAAAGGAAAGCTGTGAATGTTTTTTGAATAATCTTTCATAGAAATACAATCGACATCTGTGATCTTTAGTATTGGAAAGAGGAGCTCAAGATGGATTGAAATCGTCTATTACAAATTATTCTGACAAGTTTTTTGAGGATTTCCAGTCAAGCTTTTTATAAACTACTGTATCGTGTCCGATCATCAGAATGAATTTTTGATTTTTAAAAGTGCATTAGAACCGTCAACCAAAGATCTGAAAAAATACACAAGGCCTAGATTCTTAACGTTATTCATTCAGAAGTTATGGACATTTTACTGATTGCTACCAGCTGCTTTTTTTATTGAGAAAATTGTCAGAAATGCAGTTTTTTGTTATCGAAACCTAGGTTTTCGATCATACTGAGTCGGATGAGAATTTTTTTTGTCCTTCTTGAACTTGATCTCCATGTGATATGAGGCATAAGCTCGTTTGCGAGTGTTAAATTCATACTCTGAATGTATTTAGTGATTTAGTTAGAACTTTCATCTTATTGAATATCAGATATGACCTTCGGACGACATATATAACTCAATGAAAGTTATTCAACAATTATTTAATTAGGCCCTCATCCCTAATAAACGTTTCTGAAAGCTTCAATTTGATCTGTGGATTTTTAACTGCATTTCTCTGGTAATAAATGAAAATACTACTGAAAACACTTCTCTAAGCGGCTTGCTAAGGGTCTGGGTGTGGATAAGGATCAGGTTTTCAAGCACAGTCACAGTCACACCTATCCGCATCCCACGCACACGCATATCCACACACCCAGCTAAAAGAGATTGCGCAATTGCTGTTTTCTTTCGTCCTTCTTCATGCTGATGAAAAGAATCAATATGTGTAAGTATAATTCAACTCTCTTGCGTTGAATAACACGATTCTGTTATCTTTATCCTACGTCAGTCTTCACGTGACACTTCTCTACCCCAGCACAGCATGAGGACTGATTCATATCTGTTTTGATATCAGCTTTCATACATATTCATAATATTTGCTTAGCATCATTTTGCAATGATAAGATTATGAAAACACATTAGATTGAGAAAGAAAAATAAAAAGACAAAGAAAAGAGCTAGAAGAAAAATGCAAACGCAAGTATCACTTTTATTACTTATACTGATTTTCCATGCTGCTGCTAGTCTTCGATGTACCCACAATTGTGAGCAGACTTTCAACATAAGTCAACCATTCAATGGCCTGGGATATCCATGTGGCCGTCCAGTGGAAGATGCATATCGTTGTCATGTCAAAATGCAATTCTTCTTTCATCTCAATGAAGTAACGATGCTTTTTGTCACCGACACATCATCCGATCAAGATTTCATTCGTATCGAACCGAATAGGACAAAACATTTTTCTTATATAATCGTACATGGATGCGATAACTTTGATGATTGTGCTCGAGTGTTTGCCGAGAAGAAAATGATTGAAATGAAAGAAAAGGCATACGATGTTACTTACATTCTTAATGATTTCGATAGTCTTCTTAGTCGTACTGATACAAACAAAGTACTCACATGTTATGATGGCAATCGAACAACAGATCTATGTTCAACTCCAGATAAACTTTGCTATTTGGAATATAACCAGATCAGTGATGAGACGAACAAACTCTCCTGTCCTCAAGAGTTTATTAATCCTACTGTAAATGTTATCGTCAATGACCAAGGAAAAAGTGCGAGACTCTACGCGCGATGTAGTCGACATTTGTGTAATACAGTAGAAACAGTCAATGAAGTTAAACACATTTTATTCAAACACAAAATTACGGACAAGAATGGAAGAACAAGATCATGGGCCATGAACACAGGAATAATTCCGATTAGTGTATCTTTTAATGTTGTTCTAGCGCTTTTGTTTATTTGTATGATCAATTTGAAGTAATTTTTTCGTTCACATTTTAATAATGCTTTTTGTGTGAAAAATATGTTTCTACGAGAATAGCTAAATAAATTTTCAGCTGTGAGTGAGTGCGGATGTGGATCTTCTGCACGGATACTTCCAGATACACACCCACATGCCAAATCGCCCTATCATTTTAAGGTGAAATCTTCTCGATTGCAACAGACTATTTTAAATCAATTCGAGTATTTTCAAATACAAAATGATGTAATTAGATAAGTGAGAATTTATTCGAGACTATGTTTCATCTATTATTTTAGCAAACATTTATTTCAATAATGAAATTCATTCATCGAAACAATTTGAAAACAATTTATTTAAATAACTCATTTTCATTCGAATTTCATTCAAATATTTATTTAACATTATTGAATAATAACACATTTGAAATTTTTATATTCTAATCAACTCTTGTTGGATTATCTTTAATGGTAAAAACAGAAGAAATATTTCATTTTATATATATTCAACAAATATTTACTGCTTTTTTTTGCTATTATTAGTAGAATATTTTTTGAAAAAATCTGATCAATGATTTATATTTTATTCCTTGATTAATCGGGAAAATAAGTCATATAATGATCATTGATTTTACCATTGAATAATTTCGAACGAAAATATTTCACTAAGTCGAAATTCCCTATTTTTGTTGATAATTGTGGAAGCTCTGACATTGAAGTTAGTTTACATCCATTAGATTTACTCAATTCTAATCTATCTCTATACAGTTAATTTCATTTAATAAATCAAACAAAAGAATCTTCATCAAATAAATAATAATTAATATCAATTCATAATAATCAAAATGAAGATGCACAATTAATATCAAAATTGAAAATATCTGTCAAAGACAAACATCGTTTTTTTTTTACGAAAGTTAATTGAACAACAAGCTAATGATGTATGTGCTGCTATCTTTGCTGTTTTTATATAAAACATTATCGTCGAATAAATATGATTAAATATGTTTTATCTCAATCAGATTAAGAAAAAGTTCATCGATATCTTTTATCTGTTCATGTCGATCTCTTTCAGACAACATTGTTATTTATATAATGGCGAATTGGACATATCTATGTTATTTCCCAAGTAAAATGTTACAAAACAAAAAATAATTAAATAGAATACAATAAAATTAAATTAAAACATTTTTTATAGTCATTTTTGGGTACTTTAAAGAAAATGCTCATCAGTAGTTCTAATATTGCATAAATGAAGAGTTATAATAGTGTCCAGCCTAAAATATAGAAAACATTAGGTCTTCTCGTGCGAAAGGGCGAGAGATAATATAACAGATAAACCAACAGGATTAGGTAAGCAAAAAAAATGAATCAATTTATGTTTTTGAGAAAAAGTCTTAAAGTTCTTGAAACTTTATTTGACCAAAGTCTGAATAGAAATGAGCGAAATTAGAACAAATGGAAAAATGATCAATCATCAAATAATTCATCTGATACAAGTCAAAAAAGTCAAAAATATATGAAAATGACTTTATTTTTGTTCAAGGAGACGATAATATTTTTTAATATTACATTTTTTTCTAAAGTATTTCTATGCGAACTATTCAAAATATATTAATATTGGGTATATTTTTTCTGATAGTGTGATTGTATTGATTCTATTTATTCATTTTGAGTTATCAAAATTAGAAAAGGATATTGCTACATATTGAAAGAATACTAAATATAATATTTAATTCTCTAACAAAGTTTGAAAATAGCTGTCATATAGCTACATTGAAAATATATCGTGACTGGCCGTGACTCGCAGTAGTCACGGCGATCACGCCGATGTCTAGTAATGAAATATACAGAAAAGCTTTTTGCATACATTTTTCCATCTACAAGTTTGATTTTTTAATAGTATCACATATGGAAGTGAAACGGGTGATTGAAAACAATATTGATCAACATATCTTACTATTACACTAAGTATTTTGTCTATTCACCTATCATAGAAAAAAATCTTTCTTTATTATTTAAAAAATAAAGATAAGATAAATAGCAAAGAAAGATTTTTTTTCTATATGATACATAACTAGACAAACACCTAGTGTAACAGCAGAATATGTTTATCAATGTTTTTTTTTATCATCAATTTCACTTCCATATACGATGTTATTAAAACATCAAACTTATAGATGGAAAAAACTCTTCTGCATATTCCATTACTATCTATAATGCCATAACTTTCTGTGAACTACTTGCTAAAAATTTAAGTTACTAAACGAAAACAATGATTCTATAACTTTTTTTTCTTTTGTGTACTCAAAAAGTGAGTACACTCTAGAATCGGTCAGTATGTCCGTCCGGCCGGCCGTTTACACGATAACTTTTGAAAGGAGAGTCCGATTGCGATGAAATTTTCTACACAGCTTAGTCTCAACAATATCTCGGTTGAATTCGAAGATGAGAAGGATTGGCCGAACCGTTCCTGAGTTATTGCAAAAATAGTCATTATTCTCTATGCCTTTCTATGAGAAAATCGACCTATCCTCGCTTTGGTAAAAAACTTTTCCTATCGTAATCAAATAAAAACCCAACTATTATATACCATTCGATAGAGAATTTCACGAGCTACAAAATGGTATATAAAACATAAATAAACAAGAAACCTAACTCACCTATTGCAAAGATAATTAAACGGGAATTAGTTCTGTTTTTATCCACGCTCTAATTAATCCATAATTAGAGCTCTGTCTTTCGATCACAGAGATGATACTTCGTGATTTTCTGTGTTGGAGAACTCGAATCTGAGCTCCATTTGCCTCGAAATCCTATTGGTTGACCAGTAACCAATAGAAATCAAGTTATAGAAAGAACAACTTTCTTAGGATAAATCAAGGCGAAGAGTTCAAATCGGAGCTGTATTCGTTTCTAAATCTTATTAATTGAGCAGTAGCCAATAGAGATCAAGTTTTTATAGCAAAGGTTTGCCCGGATAATTTTTACGTTCACGCATTCTAGGATGACTCATCTGTCTCATTCACTTTTTGAAGTACACATATAATTCTCGGATTTAAATCCGAGGTTTCCACATTTTTTATCTCTTGACTTATGGTTGATTCCTGTGAAAATGTTAGTATTTTCGCATACAATAAAATATATTCCTCAGTAATCAACATTGTCTAAAACACTTTTCAACCACATTCCACGTCGATACTTTTTTTTCGGTATTTTCCTCTGTCGAACTTTTTAGGACCAACCATCGGAGATATTTAAGATTTCTAAAGACTTGAACGAATTTTCAATAGCTGCAAATTTATCGCGATAATTTTTAAATACTTGTCATCGTGCTGAATATTTGCTTCATATACTCTCAAGTCTAAAATAGAAATATCTCGAAATATGTAGGATATGAAATCAGATTTTTGATCTTGTTTATGCTGGATGTGTAAAATCGATGAAAATGAGGTTAAGAATAGACATTTCATCGAAAAGACACGAATTTTTACTATTTGTATGAAAAGAACAATGCACCTGAGACAGAGAGCATGCTCCCTCTCACGACAGTTTACAACACAACGGTGTTGTCTTATTTTCTATTGGTTATCTTCCGTTAGTCAATAGGATGATTTTGATAGAATCACTGTATTTCAAGGCATTTTTGTCTTGTTGTTCTTTTTTTAATAGTAAGATGCTCGATGTTGGTTATTTTATGCGTATCCTTGAACTTGGTCTTCGACACCGCTTCAGCAAACAAAAGAAGAAATATCTTTGGGTCGAGTCGATCACACATGGTTATTGTGGATTGAGTGATGTCGATACAAACTGGCATATGAACAATGGTCGCTATTTACGTGAAGCTGATTTTAGTCGATTTGCTCTGACTCTCGACACCGGACTGTGGGACGCACTCAAAGCTCGAAGGAAGAAAGAACCTCAAATATCTCTCCTTGTCAGTGGCATTCAAATTCAATATCGGCAGAGTGTGTTACGAGGTGATCGATTTTCGTTTATTGCTCGTTTAGTCGGATGGGATGAACATGCTTTCTACGTCTCACAGTCGATGATTCTCGACAAGAATCAAGAAGTAGCTTGTTGTCTTTTAGTTCGAATCGCGGTCACCCCCCGATCTCTGTCACCTCAAATGCTTGTTGCAGATGTTGGCTATGGATTGATTGAATCACCTCCTCTGCCACCAGAGGTGCAAAACTTCAAAGACAATTATAAATTGCCAGTTACAACTGTCAAATCGAAATTGTAATTCTGGTATTTCTTTTTGTTGATTGATGACGAAATGAACGATTTCTATCATCGAGATTTTGATTGTAATGATTTTTTTACTCTTGTGTAAATATAAATAAGATCGAAGAAAATCAGTATTCATGTTCAATGCAAATTTCGATTACTGGATCATTGATATCTGATAAGAAATTTCTTGACTTAGTCAATCAATGTCGTCTGAATATTCTTTCATGGACAGATCTGATTTGAGAATGAGTGTGCTAACAACTAAACGTGTGTCTCTCTGATACTTCACGATATTGTGCCGACACATGGGCTTATTAAAATGAAGGCACTATTTTACCAGCTAGAATCTGTGCCAAAATAAATGACATTGATAGGAAACTTTTCCTTTGGTTATAGATAGAAATTGAACTATAGAAAACAAAACATATTGGAAGCCATTTTCGTTCTATTCATCAACAAAATCACCATCTGTAGTGATGCTCTCTTCTTAGCTGAATCTAGAATTGCAGTATCAGGTACCACAAATATTGACACACTTTCTAAATGACGCTATGATTCTCTTGTCTTGAATTTGATTTCCTAGGAAACGCTGAAGCAGAAATGGATCTCTCCAAACCACTCGACATGTATTAGCCTTGCTAGAAATTACCTCTATTGAATAATCGGTTAATCGAGTTTCAATTTTCTCACTCACAATACTATCGTTAACGCATTCAAGAACTTTGAACTTGTTCAAGAATCAATGTAACAACAATTAGGTCATGGACTAAAGAATTTCAAGCTCGAAATTCAATGATATTTATATCATCCATATAGTAAATATGAAAAAGGAGATTAAAACAACATAGTGGAAAGTTCAATAAGCTCTAAATACTTTGAACGATGCAGCACATCTCGTTGTAATCGTCTGACAAGCTACACTGAGTAACTTTTAGACGAATGATATCCAAATGCCGTCAACAATTTTGATCAATTCAAATTGTTAAAATAATACAGCGAGCATTTCTTTCGAATATTCTGGATGTGGGTAAAGGAACGATAACCACCCTCCACAGTCAGACTCTTCATACGATACCAACTAGGTATAAGATAAGAATCGTTCAAAAAAGAAAATAATTATTGTCTAGCCGATAAAACTCTATCTTCATCTATCTATGTAAGAATACTCGGTATAGATTATTTGTAAATAAAGATATCAAAATATACACAATATCATCAATACAATAGTATTAATTAGATTCTTTTTTTCAAAATATTGCATGTACTATATTTGAACGACCATACTCATGTATACATGCGTATGTGGCAACAAAAAAATGGAAAATCTTATTATAAGAAAAGTTCGCTACAACTTGAGCATATTCTGTGAAGAAAATGTTCACATTGTACTCAGTTTTTCACGCTCTTCACTGATGTAATTTTTATTGTATCTGCACGCGAAAACAAAATTTTGAAGAGATTAATATGATAGGACTTGCTATATGTGTTTTTTATTGATCGGTTGAATGAAGTAGTTTAGCAATAAATAAATTGAATAATCGAAGATCACAAACATGGATGGTAATCATGTACATAGACTTTTATTATCTCTCAACAATAAATGATCTTATAATACTAAGATTTGATTGAAAACATCTTTTAAATTATCTTTCAAGAAAATGTTCTCTACTTGTTTCCAAAGGCTGAAGAGAGAAATTTGAGGAAATTGAAGTAGAAGAAGATCATATGAATTTTATTTCATGTTGAATTTAACAGACGACAAGGCACATCTCATACACGATGATTGGCTCATATATTTGTCTATAATTTATTTCTTTTTATTTTTCTGATCCCATGTATACTGTATGGACATATTGTCTTTGTTCAATTGTTCGTTTAGCGTTCGACTATTTTATTCATTTTAAAATTAGTCTAGCTTTATGTAGACGATTATATATATTAATGTTTGTAACTTCCTTTCGCTTCAGATAATTGTTCAGCTATGGCTAATAATGATACTGATAATATAATGAGTGAATTTATGAACTTAGATATTTGTTTAGAGGATAATAATCATGTTGGAGCACTTTCAGTATGTAGTAATACAATATTCATAAAATGTATGAATTATCTTATTTTTATATTCTAGGCATTAGCTAAAATTATAAATTACTTGAAAAAAAATCTTCGTAAAGACAATGCTGTTGAAAAAAAACAGATCGTTCATTATGTGATGAAACGAATATATTTAAATTTTGAAAACGGTCATTATAAAGGTAAGTTTGAAATAAAAAAAAAAACAAGAATTCCAAAACTAATTCTTGAACATATTATATCTTATAGATGTTGTCGACGATTTCAATTATTTGATAGAGATCGGGGAAAACATTGACAATAATAAAGAATTATTTATAATGAAAGAGTAAGTTTTTTTTTTCAGTATTTTCTGACATTTATCAACAACTACGATTACTTTTGTTCTAGGCATGCTTTCATAGAGACAATTATGAAAGACTTAACTTCAAGATTTGAACAAGCACAAGTTCAATGTAAGTCATCTATTATAATATTACAGCAATGAGACTTTATTTCATGTATTTACCACACGTTGATAATGAATTATATTTGACAAATGTTCTTCTTTTTTTCATAATCATTCATTAAAGATGTCCATCACCTACTATTTAGTTTTCTGTATGCTGCTACTATTATGTCTTAGTATCACTTTCAGAAACAGTTAGACATTGAAAATAAATTTCTGTTGAGAAGATTACTCTATGATTGTGGTCATCAGTATTCAAATAAGAAAAAACAGCATCGTAGAGTTATGTATGTGCTTGAAATAGTCTGTCCGTTCGGAGCTGTTTTTCTGTTAATTCTGAGAAAAAAAATGATGTTATCTTCGTTGCTTAGCATATTGCTTGCACTGAGAGAAATAGAGCCAATATATGGGCTTCTTAATTGGTGAAACTTTATAACTTGAGTTAAAACTCATCAGACTATTGACTTCTGTTTGAACTCTTTTTTCTCTGATTTTTCGCGTCTTGTGAAAATTAAAATAGAATTTCGATGAGCCTCAGCGTTTCATAGAACTAGAGCAGATGCTATTTGATACGTTCGAACGATTGATTTTTAAAAAAATGCAAATCCAACAAAAATATCCTTCAAACAATCAAAAATAGACCTCATCCTATCACCTTTCGTCTGAAACCAATCTATACACTACTTCCCAGTGGCTCGACTCTTCGAAGAGCGATGGAGGAAGCTACTTTTTATATACGATCACAAGCAGTGGATGAGACAAACATATATATTGATCGTTTGCAAGCAATAGACAATTCTCTACGTCTTTTCAAGATGCGCTGTTCTTATATGTGAGGTTTCTCTTTAAAATGATCTAGACCTTGTCTGTAGAGGTTAAGAGAAACTGCACAAAATTAAATGTATTTGAATAGAAATAAAAACTACACAATGTAACAAAGAACTACTTAAAAATAATCACTGCACTAAGAATAAAATAGAACTAACTCTAACAATACCAAAACACACATGTATATATAGCACATGGAAGCCGAGAGAAAAAAGAAAAAGAATGTTATTGCAGATAACCTAATTTCAAAAGCAAGTGCAATAAAAGAAAGGAAGCGAGAACGATGTGATCGCTGACACCTTCCCTTTGCCAGCAGGTTTTGTAAAGTTATGGTTTAGTGTTCAAAATAAGACCAGCGACTCATCGCTATGTAATTCTCGGAAATGAAGAAGATGTATAAGATTTCCGGTGTCCCTGTTCAATTTCTAAATCGAGTGTAAGTTTGATAACTAATTCTTTACACATTTCCAATTGTTGGGAGAGGTCGTCGTAAGACAGTTTCAGCGTTGGAACGGACGTAGAAACTACTGAGGAGACGGTAGTTAATGGTAGTGGTGATTGCATTTCGACATCCGAGTGTCGTGGTTGTTCCATGAGATTGAGTTTTTTCATAAGATGATTACGGCGTTTTAGTTGAGATTTCAATTTCCAGACTGCACAACGATGTAATAAGACAGGAGAGAAAATAACAAGCAAAATGACAACGTTTAGCATGACAATGTTAAAGAACGACGACCCGATAAGCCAGAATAATAGGTGACGTTTAACTTGATGGCTATTCATTTGTGCCGCATGATTATTTTGTTGATTGGCCATTATGCGAGGATTCCACTGTCAATGATATTCTTTAAGATTTTCATGCATAATACAATTGCAATTACAGTTGTTGAGATTTTCTTCACATTCACATTTGGGAGATATATTCAAATGTGGTTCACACGGAGCACATGATTGACAGACAGTACAAGTTCCACACAGCCAGGAACGTAGACCATCCAGTGAAAAAGATGGAAGTGCGACAAGCGTGGTAGAGAATAAGACAGTGGACAAAATACTAATAGCCATAACACAAAAGCAACACGAATGACGTGAAACGAACGACAAGCACGCAGCAAAACACGAAAGACAAAATACCATACAGTGTATAAAGAATATGTGAAATGAGAAGTGAATGAAAATAGAAGCAAGCATAAGAGAAGACATGAAATAAGGAAGAGTAATACAGAAGAGAGAAAAGAGAAAAAAAGAGAATCGAACTGCAGAATATGTTCTCCTCGTCTTTTTTTTTGCTTGGTAGTGCACATCAACCAAAGGCTGATATTATTGTTCCTCTTTCATGAAAAGAAAGAAAAAAAACCCTTGAAAGGAATGGATGGAGCATTGCCATTACATTTGTGTATATAGGAAAAAAAAATGTTGAATTAAATGCGACAACCGTCGCCATAGACCAAAGTAACGGGACGTAAGTCCTAAACATGGTAGTGATATTCGATGTCACTCGCTTCATGACGAACAACATAAGTGGAATGGTTGGTTTGAACAATAATCTTCGGATCTGCAGAGTATCGTGGGTCTAATTTTCCACGAGCGGCGAAGATCTTCGTAAAAGCTCGATCACCGAGGTTATTGTGAGGATCGCGACGATTCGTATCGTAATGTTGTTTATTGTACTGTTGATGTTCAAGAATATTAGCTTTCGCCTGCTGATGGTAGACTTGAAGGATCTTCTGTATATGAATGAAATAGTCATTAGGACGAACAAAATGAAAATACCGTGGAGGAGAGTCAATGAGAAGCCTAGGAGATCTATCAAAGAGCAGTTCAAAAGGTGAATAGAGTGTTGTTTTATGCTTCGAAATCTTGTATGCAAATACAATGGCGTCCAGATAGTCGTCCCAGTTGTTTTGGTGTTTCTGTTGAAGTTTGGACACTTGAACTACCATGGACACATTGAAACGTTCTACGACTGCATTTGCTTGAGGGTGATAGGGTAAGCTGAGGATATGATTATAGCCAAGGAGATGTTGCAGCACTCGCATGAGACTATTATTAAAATGAGTTCCTTTATCCATGGTTAGAGTCGAACAAACGCTATACTTACAGAAGATGTGACGAGAAAAAGTTAACGCAGTGAGTTCGGCAGTGTTGGTAGGCAAAGGAATAGCTATGACATAGTGAGTAAAAAAGATCAGTAACGATAAGAATATATTTATTTTGACGAGAAGATTCTATAAAAGGGCCACAAAAATTCATGCCAATGATAGTAAATGGAATTGCGATGGGAGGAATAGGTAGAAGATGATCGGGTTTTTTTCTGACGAGAGTAGTTATATTGTTGGCAAGGAATACATGCTTGTACATACCGTTGAATTGTTTGCCTCATCCACGGCCACCAGTAGCGAGAATTTATTTTTGAAAGCATCTGATCCGTGGTAAAATGTTCACCTTGGTAAGGATCATCATGCATTGCTTGTAGAAGTGATCTTACC